AGATTGATTCTTGGGAAACCATGAATAGCTCTTTGTTCTCTCTGAGTTTGAAGTGAAGTTTTCTATATGTGCTTATTCTCAAGTCGTAAATAAAAGAGATCTTGCCTCGGCGACATGTAAAGGATGTTCAACTCAACTCAACTCAACTCAACCTTTATTTATAAAAGCACTTTCAAAACCATTAAAATGGACCAAAGTGCTGTCCACAGGCAATAAATAATACACAGAGATATAAAATTACATCAAGACATGACAACCAGATAATCAACCCACAAATCGCTCACAGATCTCGGACCTACTCAAATGCCAAAAGCTTGATGAAATAAATAAGTCTTCAAATCCTTTTTAAACATTTTGTTGTGTGTGTTGTTGCAGTCGCAGCCATAGTGAGACCGTGCCTGAGGCTGAAGCTTTCCCATATCAAGGTCAAACTCAGCACTCTTTTACCCCTCGTCTCTTTTAACACACTTTTTATGCATTTTGTCTAGTTTGGCTGAAAGAAACCGAATAAATAAACAATTTCAGCTAATTTATTTTTTTTGGAAGACTGAAACAATAGTTCCCTAATTACTTGTGATTCCGAGTCATGATTCGATTCCAAAACGATTCTTGCTCAACTTTTTTTACTCATTAATAAATCAGTTTGCCGACTTGTAAAGCAATAATATGGGTAACCAAACAGTTGATGGCGCATAATCTATTTGGTTACCAACATTCTTTTTTTTTTTTGTATATATTTTTATTGATTTTATACAAACAAGCCCAGCTATTACCAACATACAAAACAGGGGAAAAATTATTCACACACATAAATTGCACATCACGTTACATCACATAATGTACATTATTGTTTACAACAAAACACATACATATATAAAAAAATTATTATAAAAAATAATAAATAAATCAAAAAATAAAATTCAAAAGAATTTACGACTTATTGGTGAAGACAAAATGTGGTCTCCCATCCTGCAGCAAACTAGCAAGATCACTAGGAAGGTGGTCAAGAAAAGGTTGCCAAACATTATAAAACAAATTGGCATTGCCCCTTAATATGCCACTGAGGCGTTCCAGAGGAAAAACCTTAAATATTTCTCTGTACCACTGTGTGACCGAGGGAGGTTTTTCCTCAATCCACTGGAACAAATCACAACGCATTGCTAAAAGTAAGAGTTTACCCATTAACAACAGTTGCCCTGCAGATAGAGAGAGCTGCTCTAGATGTAGATTCAGAAGGAGCAAGACTGGTTCTGATTTAAACGTTTTGTGAAAAATTTAACTTAGCTCCTGAGAAATATTCCTCCAATACCTGAGTATTAAGGGACACTGCCAAATACAACGATAGGTCCCTAATTCTTTCTAACACTTCCTACAGAAGCGAGAAACTTGAGGGTTGATCTTGTTTTGAAAATTTACCAACATTCTTTAAATATATTCTTTTGTGTTCAGGTTTGGGACAACTTGAGGTTGAGTAAATGATTCAAATGATCAAAAAAAAAAATCAAATTTGGGTGAACTGTCCCTTTAAATGTTATATTAGTGATTCTCCGATGACACGTTTTTACAGTGTCAGCAAGCATATGTTTAGTGCACACAATTAGGAAATCTACAACAGGTCAGCATGTTAGCAGTGTGATCAAAGTGGATGCTTAAGTTGCAATATGCAAAATTTGTTTAACTGGTTTAATTTATCACACAACACTGTGATCAGCATACTGATGTCACTTTCCCCATTACCCAAATTGAATTACTCACATTTTTGGTTTTGGTTTTTGTCTAAATGCTCAAGTTTCTTTGCCCTGCGCCTCGTTATATTACGATGAGGGTGAACAAACTCCCCACAGTGGATTTTACATTTGAATTGATCAGCAGATCGCCATGGCTGTACTGTAAACGCACTGCTATTTAGACAGAAATATCTATCTGTATCACACATCCCAGCCTCAGAAGGTTGATAGCGAGCCCTCGGTTCTGTCACGGTTGCGTCTCAATAACAGGATGTTGTGTTTCCACTGTCACCCTTCCAACCGTTGTAATCCTCAGCTGTCAGGACGGTTACAAGATGCTGAATTTGAAATAAGAGTGGGCAATTGTCCACAAGAGCTTCCCAGAGACCTTTTAACGTATTTGGGGCAGCAGCCCTGAAGTAGAACAGTTGAGCCGAGGACACTCTTGTACTGTCAAAGCAGCATAACTATAAAGATATTACATGCCATTTCAGGATAACTCTCAGAGATTGTGCTGTACGTGTCTCACTCGTTTGCCTGAAAACTTCGGAAGTCAGGGAGACTGAAATAGTCACACTAATAAAACCAGTTTTTACAATATTCATGTGGTTTAGATTGATTAATCCTAATATGTGGCTCTCCTTTGCAAACGTAACTGCATGAGCTGATATTTTGAATTTGGACTGCAATACCGATCCCAACCACTAGTTGTCATTCTTACAGGCCGCACATTTAACAGTGAAGGGTCTTCTATAAAGATATGATTAATAGGCTAACCTAAAGATTGATACCGATATATGTTAAAATGTTGAATTAAGCGAACATTTTATGCACGGCATTGAAATATTTGAAAACAGAACGAATATTCACTGTGAGATTATATAGATAAACTATACTGTTCGAAAGCTTGGGTTTTGAAATATTATTACAGTTTGAAATAACTTTTTTTATTTTAATATATTTTCAAATTATAATTTTTTTTCCTATGATTCAATGAGTTTTCAGCATCATTACTCCAGTCTTCGGCGTCACATGATCATTCAGGAATCATCTAATATGATGATTTGGTGCTCAAAGAAACATTTATTATCAGTTGATTAGGGCTGCACAATATATCAAAATATTGCAAATGTATATATCGCAATAACTGGCGTCATGAATAAAAGGCAGAGAAAATCACTTACTGGCTGAATAACTTTTGTAGCTTTAAGAATCAGTATATGAAGAGTTCAGATGCAAAAGCCTCTAAATTCCATTTGAAATTTTCTTCTTTAATGATGATTTTTATCAAACTTGTATATTTAAGTTCAGTAATTTCACTTAAATGACAATTAATAGGTAATTATCATTGCCATTTAAGTGAAATCACTGAACTTAAATATACAAGCTTGATAAAAATCATCATTAAAGAAGAAAATTTCAAATGGCATTTAGAGGCTTTTGCATCTGAACTCTTCATATATTTAATTATTTCATATATTTTCAGTGAAAACGAAGCAGTGTTTTATTTTTAAATTTGAGTATTCATGTTCTGTTGTTAAGGCCTGCCTGAAACCCCAAAGCCCGTCGTTAACTTTCAGAAGTTGTAAGGATGTTTTCTCGTCACAAAAAGAATGTGAAACGCGCATTTAGGTTATATAATTTTAAATATATTCTAAAGATAGTTCAAGTTCATTTTACACACTTTAAGCATTATCATATCGCATTATTTAATGAGTTATCACATTTTTTTCTTCAATATCGTGCAGCCCTAGTGTTGATTTATTGAAGATTGTTTTGATGAATTGAAAGTTTAAAAGAGCACCATTTATTTTTAATCGATCTTTTGTAACGTGTTAAATGTCTATTTTGATCAATGTGTCAATGTGTAAATGTATTTTTTAAAAAGACCTCAAATTTTATAACGGTTTTGTGAAAGATAATACAAGCAGACATCATGCATTATCCATTTAATGCCAAATATCTGCTTTTTGAGATTATGTAAACATATTATCCTATAGTATAGATATAGATATCTAGAATTTTTCTCCTCATTTTCTTTTTTTGTGACAAATTTGTTCCATTCTATCACATAATGATATCAGAATGAGTCTTACATGAAGGCATTTATACCTGGCAGCAGGTGAACCTGATCCCAGCCTAATTGTTCAGGACTATCTTAAACCCAGTTAGTTGACTATTCGTTCCTGGAATCCACTAATTGATTTTGGAAACATGTTTTTTTTTATCTCTACATGCCAAGGACAAGCATGCATATGCATCCTTTAGGCCTCTGCACAGAACGCTGTCTGTGTGTCTAACCTCAAAATACCCTTTCTCTGCCCACTGCCTTAGTGTGCTGTATTTTGAGTCTTGGCAGGCCTAATTGGATGAAGTGGAGCATGCTGTAATGTGTTGTCATGGTGAAGCAGCGCTGGGTTGTAATGTGATTTGCTGTAGTGGCAGTCAGAGCTGTAAATTCTCACTGATGGAATCAGGAGTGCGTCAGACGCCCAGTGTGAACTAAACGTAGGTGTGTATCGCCCGAGGTCCGCGATCCGGCATTGGTGCACACCGTTACCACTACACTCACACACTTACTTCACCTTCACACAAACAGTCGGGAGGGGAAATAGAGCTGAATTGATCAGTATTGATGGCCGGGGAGTCAGTCAGGCCATAATGTTTGACACCGCAGGGAATGTTTGTGTGCCGGAGCGTGTCTCCTTTGTATGAGAGTGTGTGTGTGTGCGTATAGAAGGTCAGGAACACACACACACACTTTTATCTTTCCCTCTAAAACAGCTTGTCTATGCCTGTATGAGATAGATAAACCCAAAATTCATGAGCTATGAATCAGGCTTAGGCTGCCTTTGATGTCCTATACTACGAGGAGACATTCCAAAGCCGTGTGTGTGTGTGTGAGAGAAGAGTGAACCGTATTAGCGGTACGAAGGCAAGAGCAGCAGCTGTCAGCTTGTACCCATCAGTTTTGCTTTGACTCTATTGTTTTGTGGAGACAGTGGGTAAATGCCTGCGGGCTGGCACTGCCACACACACACACATCTACTGTTATTTCATGGATGTTGTATCGCACCTTGTGTGTTGTAATTCATAATATCAAGCTTATGTACCATGTCATTTTCTCTCATTGTTGTGTTTCTCTCCTGATTCTCAAAAACACTCGCTGACACACACACAACTCGTAATGCTAGCTTGTGCTGTTGTTCTGGTGAGCTGCTGTTTCTATAGCAGCAGGTAGTAATGCTAACGTCTCACTCTGGTCTCTGACAGATCACTCCATCCTCTGACGGCTGGCTGACGCCCACATACAGGAACTGACCGACCCAGAGCTCATGGATTCCTTAGTACTGGGATTTCGCTTAAATATGACCTAGAACTGGGGATTCATTATACTGTAAGTTTCCTCATCTTGATGGCAGTGTCTTAATCTAGTGAGATCATTACCTGGATACCATTATTGCGCATCGTTTCTCAAAATCTAGTGAGCTCACTGCCTAGATGGCATGTTTTAGCTTCATAGATATATGGAGTATTTTATTTCAATTGTTTGACTTGTTTTAATAAATTAATAAAGTTGAACCAACACTTTAGATGCCAGTGAAGTTTCAAATTCCTGATTCCAGTTTTCATACTACAACAAAATCGAATAGCCCAACTAATCATAAATTAAATACAATTAAACAGTCAGTAATGATAAATAAACAAATTGTAGGAGCACACATAAATACACAAAACAGTGCTTTAAGTTTTTCAGGTACAGTAATAGGTTAAGGTTTAACAGTAGTTTTCAGGTACTGAAATTGAAAAATAAATGTAACATAACAATCCATAGTCCTCACTGTATTCATTATTTTAGGGCTGTCAAAGTTTAATCACATCCAAAATAAAAGTTTGTGTTTACATAATGTGGGTGCACTGTATATAAATATATAAATACACACACATGCTTGTATATATTTAAGAAATATTTTCATGTATATACTGTATATAGATTTATATATAATTTATATTATAAATAAATATAAATATTTTATATAGAAATCATTTTTTTTTTCTTAAATATACATATGTGTGTGTTACAGCCCTCAATCCAGTTCAGCTCGTTATAAATTCTCACATAGATAAAAGACCGAACATATAGGAATCACAGACGATTTAGCGTTTCTGGCGTTAACACACCATATTTTTAATTAGACAGGCCTTGAGAGTTGAGTGGACAATAAATCATAAATTCAGCAAAATAAAGATAACACAGGTAGGGCCCATAAAGGGAAAACAGATACCCTTGCTAACCCTGTACTTCAGTCAGGAGAGATCTTACCTGGCTCCCGAAAAGAAATAAAACGGGTGAATCTTCCGGGCAGCTGCTTCCCTTCACTAAACTAAATAAATAATAAAAGTGTACAAAGGAAAATAAAGCCACTACCTGGTTTAAACAAATAAACTAGAATCAAAAGAAAACAATCATTCGCCTCGCTCCCGCATGGCGAGACGACAACCCACAGGTGATCACCCCAGCTGGTAATTAGGCGGAGAGAAGAGGAGAGCGGGCTGTGAGAGAGCAGTGAGAGAGAGAGTGCCGTGACATCAGAACCGGCACCGCTTAAATAGCAGGAACTCCCGTGACGTCACTTTGCTTTTCGCTGTACAACTCTACCTCGCCATCTGTAACTCAAAAGAAATAGCACACACACTAATCGCTCAATAGTACACACACACACACACATAACACCCTCACCCTTAAATGATTAATTGTAGGGATGAAATCAGCTTACCTCAGAATAACCTACAATTAATTCAAGTACGAGACAAAGCGTCAGCAATCACGTTATCCTTACCCCGAATGTGACGAATGTCCAACTCAAAAGTCTGTAAAAACAAACTCCAACGCATCAGTCGTTGATTATTGTTTTTCATTCGACTAATAAAAGTCAAGGGATTGTGATCCGTGTAAACAATCAGTGGGTGCGTAACAGAAGCAATGTAAACATCAAAATGTTGAATGGCAAGGACAAGGGCGAGCGCCTCCTTCTCAATAGTGGAGTAACCTCGCTGATGTTTATTAAATTTGCGTGAAAAGTAGCAAACAGGATGCTCAACACCAGCCTGATCTAGTTGAAGGAGTACAGCTCCAGCACCAGTGTCACTTGCATCAACAGCAAGAAAAAACGGAGTAGAAAAGTCAGGAGCTGACAAAACAGGAGAAGAAACCAAAAGTGCTTTGATTTTCTCAAAACTCAACTGACAAGTCTCGGTCCATTTAAACGCAACTTTTGGACTAAGTAGGTCGGTTAAAGGAGAAGCGACGACAGAAAAATTTTTGCAAAAACTTCTGTAGTATCCGACCATTCCTAAAAATCGACGGAGCTCCCGACGCGTGGTGGGCATGGGAAAATTGGTGATAGCCTCCACCTTAGACTCAACAGGTCGAACCTGACCGCTACCGACGATTTTTCCCAGATAGGTGACCGTGGCGCGACCAAATTCGCACTTCACTAAATTCACTGTGAGGTTAGCTCGAGACAAACGACTGAACAGCTCCTCGAGTTGCTCCACATGTTCTGACCAAGACGCGCTGTAAATGACTAAGTCATCCAAATACGCTTCAACATTATGCATACCTTTGATGACACGATTAACCAATCTCTGAAAGGTTGCCGGAGCGTTTCGTAAACCGAAAGCCATTACTTTGTAATGTAGGAAATGATCTGGTGTTACGAACGCACTAATCTCTTTTGCGCGATCTGACAAAGGCACCTGCCAGTAACCTTTAAGCAGATCGATTTTAGTGACGAACGCAGCATTTCCAACATGATCCACGCAATCTTCCATACGCGGCAATGGATAACTATCGGGTTTCGTTACAGCATTAACGCGTCTAAAATCAGTACAAAAACGAAATGTACCGTCAGTCTTTTTGACCAACAAGCAGGGGGAGCTCCAAGGACTAAAGCTGGGCTCGGCGATATCATTTTCGAGCATAAAGTTTACCTCGTGTTGCAGTTGAGTTCTCTTTTCAGGGCTCACACGATATGCGTGTTGTTTAATAGGCAACGAATCGCCAACGTCGATATCATGCTCTATTAATGAGGTACACGAGGGAACATCAGAGAACAAATTCTCATACTTCCGAATAATACTAATCACATCAGCTCGTTCAGTTACAGTTAAATGTGAAAAATGCGAGTCCAAAGTTCGAATTATCGAAGAATTCTTCAACCTTCCCGCAACCAGTTCTGCAGCAGGAAACTCAACATCCCCTTCACAAGTGGCAACAGCAACGTTGTCCGATAAAGGACACTCTGGGCGGATGAAAGATTCAGCACTGGACAGCACCCCATCCTCAGGTACATCAGCACTGGACAGCACCGGTCCCTCGGTCACCGGAAAGTCTGTAGGTAAAACAGTCAACACAGCCGACTTCCTACCAGACCATTCTGGCGGTCTTTCGAAGTACGGTTTAAGCATGTTAATATGACAAAGACGAGTTTTCTTTCTTCGGTCATTCGTCGAGATAACATAATCAAGCTCACTCACCTTTTCTTTGACTGGGTAAGGACCATAATAACGAGCTTGCAATGCAGACCCAGGCACTGGCATCAGCACTAACACCTTGTCGCCAGGAGCAAAGCTACGAAGTTTAGCACAACGATCATAACGTTTTTTCATTCGTCGCTGAGAAATCTCCAAATTCTCTTTGGCCAACTCACATGCACGACGCAACTTGAAACGAAATCCTGAAACATAGTCAAGAATGTTAGGAGTTGGGTCACTAGTCCAATGATCTTTAATCACTTTAAGTGGACCACGGACAGTATGCCCGAACACCAGTTCAGCCGGACTAAAGCCCAACGACTCCTGCACAACCTCTCGCACGGCGAACATAACCATGGGTACCCCGTCGTCCCAATCCTTCTGAAACTCAAGACAGAACGCGCGCAACATTGACTTTAAAGTCTGATGGAACCTTTCAAGTGCGCCCTGGCTTTCAGGATGGTAACAACTTGACGTACGATGTTGTATATGCAACTGCTCCAGAGCTTGTTTAAACACACGTGACATAAAATTCGTACCTTGGTCCGATTGAATAGTACGCGGAAGACCAAACAGTGAGAAAAACTTTACAAGAGATTTCACAATCACTGGTGCAGTAATTTTACGCAGAGGGATTGCCTCTGGAAAACGTGTTGACGAGCACATTATGGTCAGCAAGTATTGATTTCCTGACTTAGTACGAGGCAAAGGACCGACACAGTCAATCATCACCCGCTCAAATGGTTCACTAAAAGCAGGAATTGGATGTAATGGAGCGGGTGGGATATTCTGGTTCGGTTTTCCCGTCATTTGGCACACATGACAACTTCGGCAATAACTCGCAACATCGGTTTTCAAACCAGGCCAGAAAAAATTACGGAGGATACGGTCGTATGTTTTATTCACTCCTAAATGACCGGCAAACGGGCTATCATGCGCAAGGCTCAAAATCTCAGAGCGGTACGAGGAGGGAACTATTATCTGCTTGACGACTTGCCACTCATCATCAGCAGATGCAGTAGGTGGTCTCCACTTCCTCATCAACACCCCATCTTCAACAAAGTAACCTTGCGATACCTGTTCGAGTTGCTCCACAGGAACAACAGCTTCAAAGAGGGATGACGTTTTCTCATCTTTCCTCTGTTCAACAATAAGCTGCTCGCGAGACAGAGACAATCCATTGAGCCCCATAGAGTGTTCATCTCGCTTATTAACGGCGAGGTCTAAACCGTCAACAAAGTCTGAACACTTAACCTGACAAAAATCTGCATTAGAGAGGAACGTATCGCTCAAATCAAAATTCCACTCACTTTCTGATTCACAAAGATTTTTATCTTTCAGTCTCTGGGTCATAGCGCGAGTAACAGCACATGAGGGGAAAACCTCAGGATATGTCTGAGCTAATGCATCAATAGAAGTACCAGGTAGAGGAACATCAGTTACCTCAGGGCTAGCAAAAACTTTTCCTCCCGCTAAGTCATTTCCTAAAATAAATGTGACATCTCGAACAGGAAGACACGGTCGCACTCCAACCACAACGCGGCCAACAACAAGGGAAGACTCAATTTCAATCTCATGCAAAGGTACCTTCACAAAGCCCATTTCAAAACCCTGTACCAAGACGCTTGAACCAATAAAGCTCTCATCAGACAACGGCAATACTCCCTCCAGAATAAAACTCTGAGCAGCGCCTGTATCACGAAGTATCTTGACTGGTTTACGTAAATCATCTTTACCTGCCAAAGATACGAATCCGTCCATCATGAACGGCACATATCCCTCATCTTTCCACATGTCAGCATCAGAAGCCAACGACTGCAGTCCTTCCACCTGTGACGAGGACGTCATCAACAGACCTAC